ATTGGTGGGTGTGCCTGGGAAACAAACATGTCTACAGGCCAAATGAGAATCACTGCTTTAGCATGCGAAGCAGAGATTCCCTGTGCCTGATGTAGATCACCCAGCTTCACATGGAGAGGCACCAACCACTTACCAGTAAGGTACTATTCTGGAAAGTTAGGATTTAGTGTAATGAAGCTATTCCACATGCAATGGCTTGTGCCTGGAGCTGGAACCACACTGTGATGGCAGTGGTTGTGATCTGGTCCTTACGTTGGAATAGACGTTTTGAGACTGAGTGTTAGAAATTCTTTAGAAGCAAAGACCCAAAGATCTAGATTTAAATTCATTTCCCCCTTTCCGACTTCCCCTTTAGCAGCGGATTTCCATTGATCCAGCTACAACTTACCACTTGCAAGGCCTAAAACCAAATAGTTTGTATTACTTCCGTCTGTCTGCACGCTCTCCACAAGGCCTCGGTGCTTCAACAGCAGAAATATCAGCTAGAACAATGCAGTCAAGTAGGTGTCTTTCTTTGATTACTTCATTTCTCTTCTTTATACTTGTTGACAAGCTTGTTGGCAAGTGAGTGAAATCCTATTATGTTTCAGTTATGGCTACATTGAGAAAATTTAACTAAAAACACGCAGGTCAATACACTTTGAAGAACTATAAGCATAGCATTTTCTTAGAAGAGTAATATGATACCCCCAACCTCTGTCATGAGACAAAGGATGCATCCAGACATTGTTTATCATACAGTTATGAATCTGTGCAAGTCTAAGGTTCGCACACCCACCCCTTGACATTCCTCTAGTATAACTGTGAAAATTGAAAGCTTTCATTTCTGTTTTAAGTTACACTGTTGAATCAGGTTCAAGGCTCTTTCCAGATTGGGTCTAGGATACATCAAGGATTGCCTAATTCCTTATATCCCTGCTTGAGGTTTTCTGGGGAGTCGCCATTAGCGGCCCCCCGTGGCTTGGATGGACAACTCATATTTAGTATTGTGAGCCCAGATTTATGGTGCTCTCTTCTAGTTGAGGTCAAAACAGGCCCCCTCCTTCCTGAACTTACAGCAGCTACTGAAGACTTTTTTATTCCAGCAAGTCATTTTAATTGAAGCTTAATTTTATAGTTTTAGCTGATTTCTTATTTTTATTTTGCACTGTATCTTTATAAAACAGTTAGAGACTATTGTAGTTAAGGGGTATATAAAACTGTTTAAATAAATAAATAACATTCAACCGACGTTTTGTGTTGTGCCTAAATCCTAAACTGTGGTTGATCTTAAGTAAGCTCCGTTGAAGCAAGCCAACTTCAGGCCAAGTGTGATCAAGCTGGCTTGTTCCATCGAAACAACTGTTACGATTAAGCACAGCTTTCGGACAAAATTGCAAGCAGCAGTTAATCAAAAATAGAAACAAAAGTTTCTCATCTCCCTGTGGCCACACAGAAGTGGGAGGGGAAAGGCTTGCCAACGCTTCTTCCCATACAGTAACCATGGTCGATAGTGAAATCTAGACACAGCCAATATGCTTTTGGAATCCTCAGAAGCAACTGAGACAAACAAAGGTGGATCGCTCATCTTTCGCTTTGAGTTTTAAAAGTTTAAAAATATGTTTAGGAACTGTATTTTTTTTAGGTCTCAGAGGGAGGAATTACAGGAAAATAAAAATCTTTTCTGTGTTGCTACCTGGGAAAGAGATGCAAAAAGGACTTGAGACAATTGAGATCAGTGGGACTTCTAAGTAATGCATGTGAAAGAGGTCAAAGTTCCCAATTTCCCCAAATATTTCAAATATAAAACTGGATTTTTAAAAAGTAATTTCTGTGTATACAACTGGAGGAAAATCTATTATTATATTACTGTGTGGATAGGATTTGTACCCCAAAGAGATGAACGTGTTAAGATTTTAATGACATTTGCTTCTAAACTACTGTGGACATGCATTTTGGTTCTATTTCGAATGAATTTAACTTTTGGTTAAGTAAAGTAAATCATAAGATTTCATTAGAAATCTCCAGACTGGTTTTGCTTAGGCAAACTTCTATATTAGCTGTTCGTGTATTGTGTGTGGTGGTGGGTTGGTGTTAGTTTGTATGTATTATGAAATCGCTGGTAGACTTTAATTCTTTGCTAGCCGAGGTTTCTCCAAGAGGAGCTAAAATATAAAAGAGAGACTGGACCTAGGGTAAGTACAAGTTGCAGTCAGAATCATCAGCCCTGTCACTTTTCCATGGTAGGTAAATCTTTGTCTCAGATTAGCATAATCCCCTTATTGATTCTGCATGTTTTACAGTGCTTTGGCTACAATTGATGTTTGAAATAAATACTTTTGATTTGAACCTTAATTGTAGTACACTTGTTCCAGGCCACTGCAGTCGTAAAAAAGAAAAGATAAAGAAAAGTGGACTGGGGGGGGGGGAAGAAACCTAGTGGTGCGTGATGGTTTTTATTTTATGTCTATTAGATGTGTTTGAGTTTCGAAATAGTTCTGATTATTTTCTTCATGGCACTTCATATATAATTATATATATATATTAGATATGGATATCAATCTATAAAACATAGTGTATAAAAGACTGGTTATAGATAGATAGATCATCTATATATGATATATATGATATATGATATCTATATATGATATATGATATATCTATCTCTCTATCTATCTATCTATCAATATAAAACATAGTGTATAATAGACTGGCTATTTTGTCAGACATGCCAAAATATTTTTTTTAAAAAACAACTTAAAAATAACAGATCAACCAGCAAGCATACAACATAAAAGCTTAGGTAGTAGACACATAGAAGTATCATGTTTGATGTTTTTATTTCAAGAAGAATTTTTAATCACAGGTAGGTAACAATATATTGAGGCTCATTTTCATGTATTTCCCCCTACATCCCTTTCCACCTTTTAGTTCATTCATTTTCAGTTGGTTCACTTTTAATAAGCCAAGGCTCATAAGATTATCTAAAGTTTCTGTTTTTAAGTTTGCGATTTTGATTTGCCCTTGGTTTTTCCCTTCGTTATTTATTTTCTTTTTTCTTTTCCTTTTGTTCATTTTTTTTCCTTTTCCTTCAACCACTTCTGTTCTTTCACACTCAAATCCTCCTTTAACCCACTACTGAAATTAGAGCCATCAGCTCCTCCTCAAGACATTAGTTGCAAGAGCCCCAGCTCCACTAGTATTTTGGTAAGTTGGCAGCCTCCGCCAGTGGAAAAACAGAACGGAATTATCACTTCCTACTCCATCAAGTACACTGGAATTGATGGAGAAGATGACAAGCCCCACGAAATTTTGGGAATTGCTCCGGACACGTCACAGTACCTTTTGGAACAGTTGGAAAAATGGACTGAATATCGGATTTCTGTGACAGCCCACACTGATGTTGGACCTGGCCCAGAGAGTGAATCTGTGTTGATCCGAACAGATGAAGATGGTATGTTTCATCCAACACGTCAGTTTGACTCTCTCTCTCAATCTGCTGTCTTTGTGTGGTCTAAAATTATTCCGTTTCCCCCCTCTGCTCATCTTTTTTGACCCCTGATGAGTTTTACGAAATATTTTAAACACAAATGCTTGCATTTGCATTTGTTTTGTTTTTGCTTTGAAATATATGCGCAGAAGAATCACACTTTAAAGTTTTGCCCCTTGTAAGCGTGTATATTTTTCTTCTATTTGAAGATCCGCCCCTCCTTTTCTTTCTTACTTTTTGGCTCTTCTGATTTTAACTCTTTCTTTAAGAGTACCCTTAAAGCATTTCTCTTTTGGAAAACTGATGCTGCTCCCTTTTTTAAAAAAAATATTTTGGATGCTGACTCTCTTTCGTATCTGAACACTGAAGATTGCACCCCTTCCCGTTATCTTTTTCCCCCCTACTTAAAAATAAAAATAAAAAATCAGAAAACAAGCAACATTTTAAAAGTCTTCTTGGTTTTTATTATTTTGATTACTAAATTACTTCTTTGTACTTCAATGCTTTGAGTCTCAAAGCATCTTCCTTGGCTTTTGTGCGTTTTTACATGTTTTTTCTATTTCTCTAATACTCTTTTTTCTTCCATTTTTGCATCAGTCATGGTTTTTGATCTTTTCACTGAAATGTAGAGCAGATTTGTTGGGTGTTTTCATTTGTATTCTTCGAGGAAGGATTAGTGGGTCTGCGCTTAAAAAAAAAAAGAAAAGAAAAAGAAAGAAAAAGACACTGGTTGTTTTGGACAAGTACCTGTAATTCTTCTTTTATCCACTGATGTGTTCCAGTTCCTAGTGGTCCTCCTCGCAAAGTCGAGGTAGAGGCTGTCAACTCTACAGCTGTTAAAGTGTTATGGCGTTCACCAGTGCCCAATAAGCAGCATGGTCAAATCCGAGGGTACCAGGTGCATTATGTGAAAATGGAAAATGGAGAGCCCAGGGGGCAACCCATGCTGAAGGATATCATGTTGGCTGATGCACAGGTAACTAAACATACTCTATTAATTCACGTAACAAAAAATAATAATGCTGTACAGTGGTACCTCTGGTTACGTACTTAATTTGTTCTGGAGGTCCGCTCTTAACCTGAAACTGTTCTTAACCTGAAGCACCACTTTAGCTAATGGGGCCTCCCGCTGCCGCCGCGCCGCCGGAGCACAATTTTTGTTCTCATCCTGAAGCAAAGTTCTTAACCTGAAGCACTATTTCTGGGTTAGCGGAGTCTGTAACCTGAAGCGTCTGTAACCTGAAGCATATTTAACCTGAGGTACCACTGTATTTAGTAGTGTAATTACGTCTTCTATTTTGAACTGCAAAATGGAATGCCTCCTTCCTGTTCCAATAGGTTATTGCCACAGAGTGCCCTGAATATTTCAGAAGCCAACAGTCATTCATAAAATTCATAGAATCATAGAGTTGGAAGGGACCCTGAGGCATAGCTGTCAGCTTTTCCCTTTTCTTGCGAGGAATCCTATTTGGAATAAGGGAATTTCCCTTAAAAAAAGGGAAATGTTGACAGCTATGCCCTGAGGACCATTTAATCCAATATGCAGGAATCGAACCTTAGGCCTTGGCGTTATCAGCACCATGCTCTAAGCAACTGAGCTAGTCAGACCATGTGGATGGCACTGTGGTCTAAACCACTGGGCCTCTTGGGCTTCCTGATCAAAAGGTCAGTGGTTCAAATCCCCGTAACGGGGTGAGCTCCCATTGCTCTGTCCCAGCTCCTGCCAACCTAGCAGTTCGGAAGCATGGCAGTGCAGGTAGATAAATAGATAAATATGGCAGGAAGGTAAACGGCCTTTCCGTGCGCTCTGGTTTCCGTCACAGTGTCCCGTTGCGCCAGAAGCGCTTTAGTCATGCCAGCCACATGACCCGGAAAGCTGTCTGTGGACAAATGCCGGCTCCCTCGGCCCAAAAGCGAGATGAGTGCCACAACCCCAGAGTCGCCTTTGACTGGACTTAACCGTCCAGAGGTCCTTTGCCTTTACTTTTACCTACCTCTGAAACTTGATTTTATTCCTATAAATAAATCACTATTCTGGATCTGCATCAGTCTGTATGAAGTAGTTTCACTGCAGTGGGGTGAAACCACCATTTCTAAAGATGTGCACCTGAAATGCAGAATTTGAACTTTCAGTGGTGCCTTTGTCTTCCCTGTTAGGTTGTTGGTACTATCAGAAGAGACAGTGCCAGTTCCCCATTTGGCTGGGATAGCCTCACATAAAGGATTTCTAGACTGGGAACTATATCTGTTGTGTATTTGATAAGCAAGATCAATTGTGTCTACTTTCCTCTTACTTTACATTCATGTAATATAAGGGATGCGGGTGGCGCTGTGGGTTAAACCACAGAGCCTAGGACTTGCTGATCAGAAGGTTGGCGGTTCGAATCCCCGTGACGGGGTGAGCTCCCGCTGCTTGGTCCCTGCTCCTGCCAACCTAGCAGTTCAAAAGCACGTCAAAGTGCAAGTAGATAAATAGGTACCGCTTCGGCAGGAAGGTAAACAGCATTTCCGTGCGCTGCTCTGGTTCGCCAGAAGTGGCTTAGTCATGCTGGCCACATGACCCGGAAGGTGTCTGCAGACAAACGCCGGCTCCCTTGGCCAATAAAGTGAGATGAGCGCGCAACCCTAGAGTCGGTCACGACTGGACCTAATGGTCAGAGGTCCCTTTACCTTTACTAATATAAGGGGAAATAAGATGTTCTCAATGTTATGACTATTAGTTAACATTTCATGTATTTTTCCTGTTACTGGCAGGAATTTTCTAACCTGTTTCCAGGAATTACATCAGTAGGATTTTTATTTTTTTTAAATCTGTGTCCTGTTGTTGCATTAATTTGTCACTACCTCCATGAGCAAGACCCAACTGAAGTTAAGCATTTTAAGTCCTATTAATTTCAAATCATTTAAGCTAAGCATTTGTTTAAATCCCTTCCATTGAAATAAATCATTTTGGTTGGGTCAAGTGCAGTATCAGCTAGAGTTTGGTATTATAGGTTTTGAACTCAATTACATACATTAAATATAGAGGAGTGTGGTTTAAATGAAAATTGACCTAGTAACAAGTGATTCTAGATTCAATAAGTGATTCTAGATTCAATATTATTACAGACTTTCCTAGTGTGATGAAGTGAAAGTGTAAAACTGCTTATTTTTTCTCTCACAAATTATAACAGATAATAGAGAATTTATGTTCTGAGTGAATAGATTTGTTCACATTAAGGAAGCTTAAAAAATATAGGATTTTAATTATCTCTATGTGCTTTATGAGCTTGAAATTCTTGAGTTCATTGTGCTGGTATCATAAAAATATGTATCCCACAAAAGTATTCCATTTAAGATTGATTCTGGATGAAAACATGGCAATAGACAATCATAATCATCAGATATTATGCTCTAAACAGTTTAGATGGAAACAATTTGTGATAACTACAGTACATTTAAAGAGGAAGTGTAACTTTTTTCCCCTGTGGAGATATAAATCACTTCTATTTTGCTGATGTGTTCCTTAAATGATTTCTGAACATGCTAGCCCCTTTCCTTATTCTCACCAATGTTTTTAGCACCATTAGAACAAACTATTCCTGCTTTTGCTTCATTGTGAATCTGGGCAATGACGTAAAAAAGAAAGAAAGGGGAAGAACAATATGGTCGTGTTGTGTTGTTCTTGAACATATTTTTTTCTCCTGGGGGGGGGGACTATAGTCAGATTCCAATTTTAGATGATAGAGGGAGCAGAGAAAATGTGCTGTTGGTCATAGGGTTTCATTACTGACATGAAGTCTCAAGTACATATAAATTGCCTCTATTAATCTAAACAGGTGCACTGAATTAATTTTGACAAGGTAAAATAGAAATGAAAATGAATATGGCTTAGTAGCATGTGATTAAACAAAATGTAGCCTTTCATTACATCTCAGCAGCTCAAATTAATGCAGTCATGAAACATTACTATGAAATAATAAAAGCACTCCAGACTGGGATCTCTACTTTCCTAGAAGGAGGAGAGTCTGTTACTTATTTACAATTTTGGCAACAAGTCGCGCTGCTTTTTTAAGGAGCTAAATTCAGGCTGATTTTTTGCAAGCTAGTTTTTACGATTTTTTTTCTGTCCTAAGAATAAAGTTGCCTCAGCCCAGGCTACAAATATCTCCTTATCTCTTCTGTTTTTCTTCCCAACATCCTTTACTCTCAATTAGTGGGAATATGATGATACTACCGAACATGTGAGTAAAAACTGACTGGCCAATCAAAAAAGTGTGGTGGCTTTTTCTCTGCTTTAATCTTTATTTTTTCCTACATTTGGTTGTTTGCACATGTGCATGGATTAACACCTTATTTCATCATCTATGGCATTTGGATTTTTCTGCCTTCTTTTTTCTTTCCTTTTGGTTTGGCGTAGTGCTGATTTTTTTCTAAGTGTGTTGAATTTGCATACTCGTCTGTTCAGTCACTGACACTAACTTTTATCTCGCAATGCACTCCAGGAAACTATTCTTAAAATAACACAAAACATGTAATCATTCCCATCTGCTTGATAACTCTGCACCTTCGGGTCCCAATGCACTCAGGGTTTGTTATAAAACAAATTACTTTTATTTTTAGCTGCTAACATGGTGCCCATTTCCATTATTGACACATCATATTAAATGTATATTTGTGAAAATATACATTGGTACTGGCTATGTGCCAGTGATGTTTAAACAGCTTTGTTGCAGATATCACTTCCATCATTATTAACTAAGATTCCATCATCTCCATTTAAAAAGATACTCTTTAATCTGTACTCTTTTCCCCGCCCATACTGTCTCTGCCACTTGTAACTGAAGCCCCAGAAACTGAGGGTGGATCTATATTCTAGTTTCCTCTCTCCATTTGATGAAATGTCGTCAGTCAGTGAACTGATGTTGAATATCCACACACATTGTTTTCTTGTGGATAATTCAGTATTTCAGTTCAATCTTTGAAAACGAACATTTAAAAAAAGCATTTAACTGGGAAGAGATGTGTGGTCCCAAAGGATTAAATCCATATGCTTGATAGGGTTATTCATAGAATGACCGAAGGCCCAAGTCTGAAGACCTTGGATTGCATTTTTCAGATGCATATTACTGGACCCATTTTTATTATCCATTAATACGACTATTTTGTTGTTATTATCTTACTGAGTGATTGCACTCATGGATTCTACACATACATGAGCATTTTACAAACCTCAAGCAACCTACCGTACTTTTCCGTGTATAAGACTATGTTTTTTCCTTTAAAAATCATGCTAAAAAGTGGGGGTCGTCTTATACATGGGTAGTGCATAGGGTGGATGTTTGATTGGTTGCTGCTGAGGCTATTGTGCGTGTTATTGGTTGCTGCGTCAATGGGTGGTGTTGATTGGCTGACACTTCAGCAGTTGGGTGGGTGATTGGCAGCTCCTGCCGGCGATGGGACAGATGGGAGGCAGATTTTGCGATGTGGGTGGATGAGCAATTTTTGGCATTCCCCTCTAAAAAAAGCTCTGGAACTCTTGGCAATCCTCTGCAAAAAGAAGCTGAACAACTCTGTGCCATCTCCCCCATTTTCTTAAATTTGAGTGCCCCAAAATAGGGGGCGTCTTACAGACGGAAAAGTACGTGATATATAGGTGATTGTCACATGACCCAAAAATCCCCATTTTCATCCCTTTGCACATAAGCAACACAACTGGATTTAAGGGGAAGAAAAGAGGCTTCTGTTGATGGTAACAGCCAACTGTGCTGTCCATGATAGGTGGAATCACGAATAAACCAGAGCTCTACTAATGTATGGAAAGTCTGCACACATTGGCACTCTGAGTTGATTAAGCTATTCATTTTATAGCCATTCCTATTTAATAACAAATCTGTTTGCAAACTCTGCCACCCATACATGAAACCCCATTTGCAACCCAACTTTGCCATTTTTATTAGTGTTGAAAAAAAGTGCATATAGGGTTTACTAATTGGAAGTAAGAAAAAACTAAGAACATGCTTTCTTACATTACAAATTATGTCCCATTGATTTCAGTGGGAGCGTGTTAAGCACATATATGGAAATCAGTGGGACTTAAAAGGCTTAATTTTGGCTGGATCATACTCTTGATACCTAGTCTGTAAATTAAACATCATTAGTTCCCACTTCTGTTCACTTTATGAGCCTTTCCTCAGTAATTAGCAATTTGATTGTTACTGATTTATAACTTTCTCAACCTGCCCTCAGAGCCAGTTTCAAACATGCTTTAATCTTCATCCCCTTTTGTTTATTAAAAAAGCAACACATTGTATTCAATACTAAATGCCTTTTCCATCTTCTCTTGTTCCATTGCAACCAAATTTTCAAATTATGTTTAATGGCTCTTTCAGATTATAGAGAACAAATTACTCTTATATTGAATGCCACTTTACAAACACTACTTTTATAAAAGTGTATGTATATTTTATTTTTAATCACTAAAAGAAAAGGCTTTCTAATGTACAATCCTGTGCATATTAACTTTAAAAATATCCCCGTTACATTTAGTTGGGCTGACATCAAATGAATGTTCATAATAGTGTGGAGCGTTACAACAGTGCAGTCCAGTCCTATGCCTGCTTTACTCAG